CAATGGCAAAGCTTCTCCAAGCTTTTGTGGTGCGTCCCCTTCCAGACCTGACAGAAAGGTGGTACCACACAGCTCAGATCAGAGGGTTTCCTCAACCATCCAAGGCTTGAAGGCCCTAAAATTCCATTTGAAGTAGGCCACTCGTCCTTCCTGATGAGATGTCCATGCCTGCCCACTCACAGCAACACACCAGCTGTGACTGGGGGAACACAGCTCCTCAGCCTCACTAGGCTGGGCTCGTCTCTGCGGAGAGAGCAGGTGATATTAAGCTCTGATTGATGTCTAGGAAAGCATTAGCCAGAGGATTAAATTGTCCCTTAATCACACTATGTTAAGGCCAGCTTTGTCCACAGGGTCAAAAAGACCTTCCAGCTCTCTGCATAACACCAGGAAAAGCCAATTTCTCCCTGTCAAACACAGCCTCACTTCCCTCCCAAGCCCCTTTCCCATCCAAAGACAGCACTGCCAAACTCCACAATTCATAGAACCACAGAATCCTAGAAAGGTTTGGGTTGGAAAGGACCTTAAAACTCATCTATTTTTACAGACAGAAAAAGGAGCTTAAAATCTGAGTGCACCTTTCCTGAAATTACAAAACAGTTGACACAAACACGAGGAAACTACCAAATATATTACAAATCTTCCTGTTCTACCTTAACAGGCAGAAGGAAGGGGCGATTGGAAAGAGATGATCTTTAAGGTCCCTTCCAACCCAAACCATTCCACGATGACAAACTGCACAAACTATCCAAACTACTGTTTATTAGGTAACTTTAACAGATACCTATTATTTTTCATAGTTGTTTTGTCTTGCCAAACATCCTTACTGCCCGTCTCAACCCCCTCCAACTAAGGCAAACATTAACAGCTCATCCAATTCCCTATATTTAACACTCCCAATCTGGCACAGATTTATACCAGCCCTGGTAACAATGGCATGGAACACCTGTCAGTGACTGCATTTGCCCAGGGATTCGTTCCCTTCCATGTTGCGTGTTTAATAATTCCTGAACAATGGGACAAATAAACATATTTTTTTGCTCAGCTCTTACTCAAGCCAACACCACTGTCCAAATTGCACATGAGAGGCCTGCAGAGGCTGGTGGTTGTTTCCTAGACTTGTCTCCTCTTTCCCTCAGAAATGACATTGTCAGCAGCTCTGGGCTCAGGGAGGGCATTTACCACTTGTATGTGAGGAAGGAAGAGGAAGAATGAGCAGGAAAGGGGCAGCGTCGTGCAGGGCCCCGAAGGCAAGGATGATAAATCTGAACTTCAAGGGGTGGATGACAGAGAGATCTTCTAAGGAAGGTTGAGGCTATCTGAGAAAAAGGATGAGAGACATGTAGTGCATGGCTAAGGCTGGAATAATGTGGGGTTACAAGACCCAGTGAAGGAGTTGGGAGCTGTTGATGGTTGACACGTTGAAGATCTGTCTGGATGGGGATGAGGAGGATGTGGACCTGATGGAGAAAGTTCACAGGGAAGAGCCACAAAGATGCTCTGAGGGCTGGAGCACCTCTGCTGTGGATACAGCCTGGGAGAACTGGGGATGTTCGGCCTGGAGGAAGGCTCCAGGGAGACCTGAGCATCTTGATGGGGGAAACAGGTAGAAGAAATAGTACAGAGCAAGATGGGTCATGGAAAGTATGTCTGGAATTAACCCCTGTTCTGCTGTAAGCAAAACATGTAGTCCAGATCCTAACCGAGTTCATGGATACCATTCCTTCTAGAGATGTTGTGTCACCTTGTGAGACCCACCTGGAGTGCTGCATCCAGCTCTGGAGTCCTCAGCACAAGGAAGATGTGAACCTGTTAGAGGAGGTCCAGGAGAGGCCACGGAGATGCTTGGAGGGCTGGAGCCCCTCTGCTCTGGAGATAGGCTGGGAGAGCTGGGGGTGTTCATCTGGAAAAAAGAAGGCTCCAGGGAGATCTCAGAGCCCCTTCCAGTGCCTAAAGGGGCTCCAAGAGAGTTGGAGAGGGACTTTGCACAAGGGTCTGGAGTGGAAGGACAAGGGGGAAAGGTTTTAAACTAAATGAGAAAATATTTAGATTAGATGTTAGAAACAAATTCTTTACTCAGAGGGTGGTGAGGCCCTGGCACAGGTTGCCCAGAGAAGTTGTGGCTGCCCCAGCCCTGGAAGTGTCCAAGGCCAGGTTGGACGGGGCTTGGAGCAACCTGGGATAGTGGAAGGTGTCCCTGCCCATGGCAGGGGGTTGGACTAGATGACCTTCAATGTGCATTTCAACCCAAACCATTCCACAGTTCTATGATTCCATGATTCTTTGTTTCTATGGCTCCATCCGGCCTCCTCACCCCTGCACAAAACCCCCCTCCCCAGACTGTTTATCGCCTTCCAAACATCCTTTCCACCCCTGCACCAGCCACCATCCCCAGAGCAGGGCCCCAAACTTACCTGCCATCCTCACCCTCCCATCTCCCCTGTCCCCGTGGCCCCATCACTGCCCCAAGGGTGCCCATCCCTGACCACGGCTGCTCTGAGCCTCAGCAAAGCCCACACACGAGCCACACCACGAGAACACACCCCATGCAGATTTTATCACCACAAGGGTCATCACTTGAGGTACCTCAGATTCCCTAAATAGCAGGCAATCCATCCCACAGCTGTACTGGAGCACCTTGTGCAGCACAGTTGATGACAGGTAATGTTGGGGACACCCCAGCCTTGGTAGACCTCCAAAACCATCAGCCTTCGCTTCACATGGGCTGCTAAAGGCCATTCCTGCAAGGAAAACAAAGTCTTTTTAGGTCATTTAGCTTATTCCCAGGGTTCAGCAAAGCTTCTTGCGGCCCAACCTTGTTACAGATATGATTCACACAATCATATTTCAATCACTTCCTCTGGGAGACTCTTTCCAACAATGCAGATTTCTTGGCTGGAGAAGAATTCCCAGGGATTGAGCCGAAGTTTTCCTTTGCCCTTCAAATGCATCCCCTCAAGCAGCTTCAAAAAGGAAACTTCCTTCTTATTACCATGTTGAGAGGCCACATCGTTCCCCAAGAGCAGGTGCTAAGCCCATGGAAAACCTGGGCTGCAAATCAGAAAATCAGACCTGGAATTGTCCTAGTACAGTTCAAAGAAGTCCACTGGAGAAAAAATACAGCATGTTCTCCACAGCTCCCTGAAAAAGGCTGTAACCAGGTTGGGGTTGGTCTCTTCTCCCAAGGAACAAGCAATGGGACAAGAGGAAACAGCTTCAAGTTGCACCAGGGGAGGTTTAGGTTGAATATTAGGAATAATTTCTCAATGGAACAGTCTGCCCTGGGCAGTGGTGGAGTCTCCATCCCTGGAGGGATTTAACAGCCATGTGGATGTGGTTTAGTGGTAACCTTGGCAGTGCTGGGGGAATAGTTGGACTCAAAAATCTTAAAGGTCTTTTCCAACCTAAAGTATTCTATGTTTTGTCCTTTTCATAATTTCCCAGCTCTGGGGTATTATTTTGGTACTGCTATATCTACAGGGAGACTGGGAAAATCCCAGTGCTGTATCCCAGGATTGTCCCATTGCCTTGGCTTTCCTGCATACACACCCCAGACAAGTTGCAAAGTCTGTACAGAGAGACTTTTTCTAATCAAGGAGTCTTTTGGTGTTTGACAGCATGAAACTTTGTCACGTTGAACTCCCAAAAAGTCGTGACTTCTGAAACTTAAATGTTGTGTAGCATGAACTCAGAATCCCAGAATTATTAAGTTGGAAAAGCCCTCTAAGATCATCAAGTCCAACCATTCCCCCAGCACTGCCAAGGCCATCACTAATCCATGTCCCCAAATGACACATCCACAAGTTCTCTCAGCATTTCCAGGGGTGATTCCACCACTTTCCTGCCAGACAAGCAATCCCCCCTTCACCAGAACAACAGTGAACACACAATCATGGACCTGCTCCCAGAAGGAGGAGACAAAATCTGCTACAGGCTGCCTGGTGACCTCAACTGGATGTTCTTCTGGAGGACGCCTGTCAGGGAACACCTCAGTGCACCTGCCAAAGCTTTAGCAGATGAAATGAGACATTTTTACAGTATCTGTGAGCAGGTGTGTGGGAGAGGGAGGAAGAGAGGCATTTTCCTTGCCTAGAAGACTTATTTATGTTCTGCAGGTCATAATTGAAGCAGAAGTTGATTGCCATTGTCTGGGATTTCTTGCAGTACCAAGTGATGATTTGGCCACAATTTTCTTCCCTCTTGCAGCTCAGTCTCTCTCAGTTTGTATTTCGAAAATTCTCTTCCAGAAAATACAAGAAAATTAACTTCTAATCCCAAAAAGAAATTGTGGGAGGGATTCATCAGAAAAGAAAAAAATTAAAACACAGCCAGATTTGTGGTGTTGCAAATAGTGCATTGCAAAAAATGGGCTTTGTGTTAGAATTATTTATTATCCATCGCTTGAGCATCTCTGAAAATAACCTTCCTCCCCTAGGAAGGAATAACTGATCCCTTTTTATTATTTTTATTATTATGGCACTCAAGACACCATCGTGGCATTAGATCAATTGTAAAAGTGGAGCTGTTTTCTCTTGTACTGAGTGATGTGGAAATATCATGAGGCAACCCCTGATGCTGAAAATCTGCAATTTAAGTAAAGTGAGTAGTTGAACACCGAGAAGAAAAGCAAGTAGGAAACTGAGGCACAGGAGTGAAGGTGCTTTGCCCCACTGTTATTTCAGTGCTTCCAAGTAGGAATTTGAGGATTTGGGCTGTTTGAAGTCATGTAGTGAAAGTTTAGCGTGGAGTCAAGAGGCAAAAGCTGAGTCAGATTTCCCAGTGTTTAAACTCAGCAGTGAATCTTTGTCCTTGGGAGACAGGAAGCAAAACTGTGTGTGTTAGGAGAGTTGTTCCTCCTATCCATCTGTCTTGACCAAAGCGTGAAGTCACAGAGACATGGAATGGGTTGGGTTGGAAGGGACCTTAAAGGTCATCTTGTTCCAACTCCCTGCCATGGGCAGGGAGGGACACCTTCCACCAGCCCAAGTTTCTCCAGGCACAGCCTGGATGGGGTCCCCTCCATGTGCACGCTGAGATCTCCCTTCCTGCATCCCACCAGACCCTGGAGCCATTGCAAGGCACTGGAAGGAATCCCAAAGGTAAGGGGAGCTTCTGGTGAACATCTGTGATGCAAGATATCCCAATATTTGGGCAGCAACCCACAGGCAGGACCAATAAGTGTCATCTGAGCTTGTGTAGGGGGCAGGGGAGACCGGCAGGGTGGAGATGTCAAATGGGGATACATCCCCAGATGTGTGGGTCATTGGCTTGACATCCACTGAATCCTCTCTAGGAATTACTTTAAGTAAGATATGAGGTGGAGATGGTCTCAGAACTTTCCTAGGTGGAAAGGTGGTGGATGCCCCATCTCTGGAAACATTCAAGGCCAGGTTAGACAGGACTTTGAGAAACCTGGTCTAGTGAAAGGTGTCCCTGCCCATGGCAGGGGGTTGGACTAGACCTTCGAAGGTTCTTTCCAATCCAAACCATTCCATGATTGTATTATCACCTTCCCTACCGCAGGTAGAGGTTCATACATCCCTCTGGATGCCATCCTAGACTTGATCTCAGTACACATCTCCTTGCACCCACTGTTAGTGCACACACACACACACACACACACACACACACACACACACACTTATTTTTCCACACAGATTCCAGCAAAGCCTGTGAAAAAATGAAGCTGACCATAAACCTTCGGGATCTGCTCCCTGCGGGCCAGGGAGGGGGGGTGCAAATCCCTTTATTGTTGGGTCGGATTTGTTTCATTATTATTTCCCCCCCCCCCCCTCCTTTCTCTCTCCTCCTGGATCAGGAGCCCGGGATGAGGCCGGGCTTCTCCCGGCATGAGAAAGTGGGGCCATCCGTGCAGATGTTGCCCGGGGGAAGGCGAGGTTCCCACACCGAGTAGGAAGCGGGGCCTCACGGAGCCGGGAATGGGGACTGAGGAAGTGGCAGCAGGGCTGGAACTCCCGCGGCCGTCGATCCAGGGATGATGGGAGAGGAGAAGCAAAGCCGGGGGCGGAGGAGGGGGGGACCCGGCGAAAGGGAGGGACATCTATTCTTGGAGAAAAAGGGGGGGGATTTTATTGTGAGGCTTTGTTTACACCCCGAGCTGAATGAATCAAATGACCTTGTTTATTGTCGGTCTCCTGAATGGACGGCAGAGGGAGAGGGAGGAGGGATGGGGGGTTATATTATTGTTAATTCTACCATTTACAACTTCTTCTTCTTCTTCTTTTTTATTTTTTTTTTTCCCACAGCACATTGTTGCCATGATAAAAGAATAAGAGGTGAAACTCTATTCCTTCCTTTCCCCATCTCCGCAGTATTCTCCAAATCCCCGGACAGGAGGCTGTTGGGATGAAAGTGCCAAACCAAGATGCAGGGCCCAGTCCTGCTGTTCCTGATCCCACTCCTTGCCAAACTTCTTTTCCATGATGGGGTAAGGGGGCTGAGACTTGTCCCCCTGGGACTCAGAGTGTTCCTTCCCAGGGAGAACACAAGGACACAACAAGCCTTTTCCCATCCCCGCTGGATGGATCCCTCTTTGTCCCTGGATGGAGGCAGCAGAGTGGCCACAGCTCTCACACACAGGGTCATTATCCTCAGGAAATAACAACATCCAGGCAAAGATCACTCACATGCCATGTTTTTGGGAGCTGAAGTGAAGCCCTCTTTGAAGGACCCAGCTTTTCACCTAAGCACCTGCTCTTGGGGCTGCACAGGGGTATTTTGGTGCAAGTCCTGATGGTTCTATTATTATTTTGCCTTTTATTTGGACCCTGCTGATCCCCATTCTGCTTGATAACTCTCCAGCCAAGAACTCAGCAGTTTCCAGGGTATTTTACTTTAAAGAGCTATAAAGATCCAGGTCTGAGGCACCACAGGGTTGCTGAGAGCATGAAATGATCCTTTTGGTTTGAGGATCACAACAACCCCCAGAGAGATTATATTAGTTTCAAATTACAGTTTTCCCTCCTTGTCAATTTTAAAAGTCCTTTACATGCTCTAGGGTGAAAGAAAAGGATGCAAGGTTTACCAAATTTTGTGGCCACTTCAGGGGCATCCCTTGGGGTGTCCTCAGCTCCACATGGAAGTCAGTTCTTGCTCTGGGACTGGCTATATTCATGGGTGACTACCTCTATCCTGTCACCTCAATTCTCTTTCCCTTCAGCTCAAGGCACTTTGGTTCCTTCAGGATCATAATTTAATTTCTTAATGACTTTAGAATTTTATCAGCACAATGCCAGAGACTCTTACCTGGGACAAGCTGAAACCTGGTCCCGGCTTCTTCTCCTCCTCTCTGCTGTGCAATTTGCATGTGTTGGTGGAATTTTCCTTGCTGAGAGACATCAGTGCAACAAGGAAAGCATCTGAGATGGTTTGTTCAACCAGTCTCCTGAGAACTTACTATTGGAAAGGTGATTTTTCTGCTCAGGTCTCTAACTATGGATACCTCCTTCTGTCTGAGATGTTCAAGCCTGTCCCATCAGACCTCCAGGTGCTGGCCCAGAAGACAGAGATCTCCCATGTCACACCTGCCGGGGGATGGGGATGTCTCAAGTGCTGCAGGACAGTTCGAATGTCACCAAGTGCCCATGTGTGGGCAGCTGAATGACACACCTCTTGTCTGTGGCACAGACCTCTCCACCTGAAGTGGGTGTTCATTCCCTTGTTAGTACCAACAGAAACCCAACTAACACAGCCCATGAAGTGACTCTTCAGACCACAGGTAGGTTTGGGATTTATGGTGAGGTCAATCACTGGCTGGGATTATCTGCCAGAGGTTTATGGGCAATATAAGAACCTACAGAGCTGATGAGATATAAATCACTTCTGGCACGGGCCAGAAGCACTGACAGGCAGGTGAGATGAGCTGTGTTCAGCAACACCTTGACTTTTGCTTTGTAGCCCTTTCCTCTCTCCCCCCATGGGCAGAAAACACCTTCCTGCAGCACAGAGTGACCCACAACACGGGCAAGGGACATGAGAATCCATGAGGGCCTAAGTAACTAAACTAGATAATACCAAGGATTATCCTGCGTTCCTTGGTCAATGCTGGGCTACAGTCAAGGTTTTGCTCCTTGGTTTCCTACTTCCATGGGCTCCATTTTACTGGCAGAATAATTATTTTTGCCTCATATCCTTCAGATTTACCCATGACTGGTGGTTTTAATACATAGCTGTGAGTGTAGGACACGCTCCTGGAGGGTATGAGATGGCCATAAATCTTGAAGATTTACATCAGTGTAGTTTTGGCCAAGGTCAAGGAACCCTTGGAGAAGAACAGAGGTGGGAAAAGAGAATTAAAAAGGTAACAAGGTAGAAATGAGCAAAGAAAAGTCCTGCCTGTTGCACAGAGCCAGAAGAGAGGAAGGACAAGGTAAGGCAGATAAATAAAAACCTGTTTCATTCCCAGTGGCCCATCCTGTCACCCTGTGCTTGCCTTCTTTGTGAACAGGTGAACACCTTCTTTGCCAGCTATCCCATCGTTTCCAAGCCTGTGCTGCCCTCAGCTTCCAGATGGGGATGGGAAGCCATAAATTCCAGAAAAAGAAGCACAGAATCACAGAATGGTTTGGGTTGGAAGGGACCTTAAAGACCATCTTGTTCCAACCCCTCTGGCCATGGGCAGGGACACCTTCCACCATCCTAGGTTGCTCCAAACCTCATCCAACCTGGCCTTCAACACTTCCAGGGATCCAGGGGCAGGCACAGTTTTTCTGAGCAACCTGTGCCAGGGCCTCACCACCCTCACAGGGAAGAATTCCTTCCTAAAATCTCATCTAAATCAATGCTCTTTCAGCTTGAAACCATTTCCCCTCATCCTGTCCCCCCTCACTCCAAGCTCTTGTAAAAAGTCTCTCTCCACCTATCTCATTGGCTCCCTTCAGGTACTGGAAGGCCACAATTAGGTTATTCCAAAGCCTTCTCTTCTAAAGCTGGACAATCCCAATTCCCTCGGCCAAAGAAGGTATGAGGGTACAAGGGTGAGGCACCAAGCACTGCTCCTTGGATGAAGTGGATGCCCCAAGGAGGAGGAATGGACCTGTCTCACTCCATGGAGGGCAAAAAACAGCTGAGTGACCCCCTTATCCAGATATTAAACTTTTAGGAAGCAATTTTTACCCCCCCTCCTGAGAGTTGTACTGGCAGGACTGTGCAAAGAGTTTTGTAATGCCCCCATCTCTCTGTCACGCTGCACCAATGCATCCAAATAATCCAGATCCTCTAATATTTGGGCACTGAGTTCATCCTGAGCTCCTTTAGACTTAGACTAAATGACTGGCCTCCAAAAAGCATCAGATCTGTCTGACTAAGAAGACAGAGAGGTGCAGTTTAACATCAAGTTTGCAGCAGGAGAAGCCTAAAGCAAATTTGGTGAGGTTTAGAGCTGGATGGTACCACACCATGGAATGAGATCTCCAGCCTTGGATAGGGCTGAGCATTTACAAATCCATCTATTACACTAAAACTTGGGATTGTGGTATCCTGTGCAGCGATTAAAACCAAACAAAACACCCCAAGAGAAGGAATTTCTGCCATCTAGGGGTCATATTTTTCCATTACAACCAAGGCTGCAAAATATAAATCAAAATTTCACCTCTTAAATATATGCAAGTGTATGTATATAACTTTTTCCGAAAATAAGCTTTAAAAGGCAAAAAGATGTGCAATTCCTTTCTATCTGTGAATTTGCAGCAAGAAAATCCATTTTATTTCTACTTTATTCTTCCTGCAACAGCTCAGCATTGTTTGTGTTAGAAATGGATAAAGGACATGAGAAATCAAAGTTTATTTTTCATTTCCTGACAGGCAGGAAAGTTTTTAGATAAAGTCAAGAAAAAGGAGAAAAAAGCAATTATTTATATTTTATAATTTTATTTTGTCCCTTTTAAACCTCAGTTTGCATAAGATAGCCAGTGACATCATTAATATCACAATTTTTTTGTGCACCCACAGCTAAACTCCCACCATAAAAGAATTTTATTTGTGCTTTAAAAACAAAGAAGTGACTTGATATTTTAAGTGTCCCACACTCTTCATTTCTTGGGCACTGTGGGGAAGGACTTAAAATCTTAATAACTAATAACATTAATAGATTAATATTGTAATTTCTTTATTTCACTGGGTTAGACGGTCAAATTATAAGATGAGTTTCTTTTCTTTTGACAACAACATGAAGTGACAGGACAAGGGGGAATGGCTTCCCACTCCCAGAGAGCAGGGTTAGGTGGGATATTGGGAAAGAATTCTTGGCTGTGAGGCCCTGGCACAGGTTGCCCAGAGAAGCTGTGGCTGCCCCTGGATCCCTGGAAGTGTCCAAGGCCTGGTTGGACAGGGCTTGGAACAACCTGGGATAATGGAAGGTGTCCCTGGTCATGGCAGGGGCCTGGAATGGGATGAGCTTTAAGTCCCTTCTAACCCAAACCATTCCAGGATTCTATGAAAATCCAACATTCCCAGTTTATGACTTGCCACAGTTTCCCCATTTCCATCTCATGTCACTCAAACTTTGCCATCTGACCTGGATGATAAAAATCCAAAAATATGAGAAGCACACGAAAAACTTGTCTTATTTTCATTACATTTCATTTCTCCACCGAAGTGGCGGCTGAGAGAAGGAGAACACGGAGTCAGATCCAAACTGGGGCTGGTTAGCCCTGTTTTGTGTCTCCAGACTTGTTAACTGGGAGATGCTCAGAGAAAACTGTAAGAGCATGACAAGGATAAAACAACATTTTCCTGGTGCCTGAGCTATAGGAGAACCCCCAGCCTGAAGTCAACTTCAATTTATGAAATGCTTGTGTTTGGCATTGCAGGACACTGCACTATCCACTGCTCCAGGATGTTTTCATTACCCAAGGGGCAGCTGGATTGAAGGCACTCATATGGGGCAGGGAGAGCTCTTAATAGCCTGGACATGGCCAAAAAGGGCCATTTGCCCTTGTGAGGTTTCCTCCTGATTACCAGCACCATTGTTTATTACCAGAATGAACGCACAAGTGGAGGGTCTCTGGTTCCTACAACCCTGTATGGGCTCTGGATCAGGTTGATCCAAGAGGTGCCTTTGCTTCTCCTTCACTCTGCAACTTCCTTGAGATTTTTCAGATTTCTTTTACAAATTGTATTAGAAATTGTACAGCCCCTCACTCCAAGAAAGACATGTAGGGGCTGGAGCGTGTCCAGGGAAGGGAATGGAGATAGGAGAGGGGCTGGAGCACCAGGAGTGGCTGAGGGAGCTGGGGGGGGCTCAGCCTGGAGAAAAGGATGCTCAGGGGGGACTTCTCACTCTCTCGA